TTTCATAGAGGTGAGCAAATCTAGAGAAAGATCGATATTGATCACCAGAGAATAAATGAAATTGTATTAAGATGGATAAGCCATTCCTGACTTATTTTTCTTTTCTTTTTTATACATTTGCATCATATTGCATGAACAGCAATCAGAACTTAATTAGTCCAATGAGCTGTTTTGATGAGTTCCTAGTTCTGATGGCATAGTTTATAGATGGCACTCAGTAGTTGCTCTATCTCCATTGGATGATAAAATTGATGGTAAATGTTTCACTACATTAGTATTATATAGAATATTTCCGTAAGGTGCAAACCCAATATATCAATCAATATGAACGACAAATTGCACTACAAACCAGAAGACCAGCAAAACAAAATTTATGTTCGACTTGGTGCAAAACAATTTTTGGAAACGTGACTTGCAAAAATGTTCTATAATACAGAAAGTATATTCCTGAAGAATATATTCAAGTTTTCTTAGTTAGTTATTGCTTTGGAAATAAGCTCCATTTGTAGCCATTGTAAAAAAAACAGGCGTTATCAAACAAATGAGTAGGAAGGAAGTATTGGTGTCCATGTCCTCTAAGTGATATGTTCTTCAGGCAAATGATAAGGAGTAATTTAAAGACATGTAGCATTAATATGAGGATTTCCATGCCAACTCTTTTCCTATATCGAATTTCTAATATATTTATCATAACATTATCCCTAGTTCATAGTACCAGCCAAGCTCATTCATTCATGGCCCGAAGGAAGGAGTTGCTTTTGCAGAGGTGGCCTCGTTGTGCAACATACTGACAAACTTATTACCAAGATAGTAAAATTGTACTAACAATTGTAAATTAGTATATATATATACCACTACTACTATTAAAATATTTTTAATTTGCAAATTTTGTGTCCCAATTTCATATCATGTTAAACGTCTTCTTAATGAAGTGACAGTCCCAAAATCCGATAAATTTAGGTTGAGTACAAAAAACATTTTTTTTATAGCAAATCAGTTATTTATGCCTTTTTCTAAAAATATGCTAAAGAATTCTCACATATTTTTCCGAGAATTTGAACATCTCTCTTTCACCCGGGGCTGTAAACCCAAAAATCCTTCGTACCTGTGATCATAAAACGATGAAGAAACTTGAAAAGATTCTCAAATGTCAACATAATTGATACTTTTGGAGGTATATAATAATATAAAAATAAATTTTGTTTAATATTGCCATATACAATATTATGGATAATTTGAAAAAACTTCAAAATGATAAAAAAATTATTATTTTTGCAAAATTGTGATCGCATATTTCACAAATGAAAAATCGCAATTGAAATGTATTTTTCGTCTCGTTTATTAGTTTGACAAATAATGTGAATTATTTGTCAACTTATTTATTAACTATTGCATTCATGAAAAATCGCCAATTTAACCAGTCAACTGTGTTTTTATTCTGTGAATATATTCGTCATGGCAAAATTTTGTGTAGTGACGAGTTTCTTGTCACAGATGAACACAGTGACCATTTTCTATTTAAATTGTTAAATTGTTTAGAATATATTAAGGATTTGACTGTAATTATTTTTATTTTTTGTATTTATTTTATATACTACTAAATATACAAGTATCCTAGTCTATACATACAAATATCTAAAAACAAAAAGTGAGTTTGTTTCTAAATATTTTTATTGAAAAGAGTTCTTCTTGAGCATTGCTACATAAAATTAAAAATATTAAAGATAAATTCTAATAATGAAAAAAATCTATCGAATATAGTTGGATCAACCAAAGGGTTACTATTGCGCAAAAAAATAGTTCGAGCACAACATCATATAGAGCGAAAGTTCTGGAAAAAATGAGTACTTAGTCATTGTTACAATATTTATATTGAAACTGCATAACGCAAAAACAATCCAAATAAACTGTCCTGGTTTC